GAGACCTTCGGGATTTCAGAGCAAGGCTCTGTTATCATCTGCAGACAACTATTCTCCCTTTGAAAGACAGCTCTTGGCCTGCTATTGGGCTTTAGTGGAAACTGAAGTTTGACAATGGCCACCAAGCTACCGTGTGCACTGAGCCCCTCATGAGCTCGGTGTTATCAGTCCACCACGTCATAAAGTAGGACATGCACAGCAGCTGCCTACTATCAGATGCAAGTGGTACATATGAAATCGTGCAGGATCCGGAAGTTCTATACCTGAGCAGGTCCTGGAGGCACAAGCAGTTACGTGAAAAAGTTGCCCCAGTGTCTCCCATTACAGTGCCTTCTGCTGCCCGGTATACACCTTTAGCCTCACAGGATATTCCCTAGGATCAACTGATTGAGGAAGTCTAGGGCCTGGTTTACTGATGGTTCTAGACATGATGCAGGCACCACCCAGAGGTGGACAGCTGCAATATTACAGCCCTTTCCTGGGACAACCCTGAAGACACCAGTGTAGGAAAATCTTCACGATGAACAGAACTTCAGGCAGTTCACACGGTATTACAGTTTGTTCAGAAGGAGAAGTGGCCATATGTGTGATTGTTCGCTGATTCATGGGCTGTAACCAATGGATTAGCTGGATAGTCAGGGACTTGGAGAGATCATAATTGGAAAATTGGTGAGAAAGACATCTGGGGAAGAAATACGTGGATAGATCTCTCCAGATGGGTGGAGGATGTGAAGATGTTTGCATGTCGTGTAAACGCTCATCAAAAGGTGACTGCAGTAGAGAAGCCAATAATGGATGGCTCATTCTGTGGACAGTCAGTCTCTTTCCCCAGCAATTCCATCATGGCCCATGAACAAAGGGGCCATCTTGGCAGAGATGGGATCAACCACATGGACTTCCACTCACCAAGGCTGACCTGGCTACAGCTCCTTCTGGGTGCTAGATCTGCCAATAGCAGAGACCAACACTGAGCCTTAGATACAGGGCTATTCCTCAGGGTGACCAGTCAACAGCCTCTTCCTCCATGGAAAAAGCAATGCTTTGTCCTTACTGGAGTAGATACTTATTCTGGTTATGGATTTGCCTTTCCTGCACATAATGCTTCTGTCAAAACCACCATCCTTGGACCTACAGCATGCCTTATCCACAGTCAGTATTCCACACGGTACTGCTTCTGACCAAGGAAGTCACTTCACAGCCAGAGAAATGTAACAGTGGGCCCACAGTCACGGGATTCACTGGTCTTACCATGTCCCCTACCATCCTAAAGCAGCTGGCCTGAAAGAAAGATGGGATGGCCTTTTGAAGACACAGTTACAGAACCAATTAGGTGGCAGCAGCATGGAAGACTGGGGTAGGATTCTCTAGAAGGCAGCACAGGTTTTGAATCAGAGTCTAGTGTATGGTAGAGTTTCTTCCATAGCCAGGATCCATGGGTTCAGAAATCAAGGGGGTGGAAAAGGGAAGAGTTCCACTTACTGACACTTCCAGTGAACCCCTAGAAAAACTTTTGCTTCCTGTTTCTGCAAGCTTAAGTTTTATTGTCTTAGGAGTTTTGGTTTCAGAGGAGGGAGCGTTCCAGCCAGGAGCCATGACAAACATTCCATTGAACTGGAAGCTCAGACTTCTCTCTGGCCACTTTGGGCTCCCAATGCTCTTTTCTTTCTTTCTTTCTTTCTTTTTATAATTTTTTAACGATTTATTTAACTTCATTTTTATGTGCATTGATGTGAAGGTGTCAGATCTTGTGGAACTGCATTTTCAGACAGTTGTGAGCTGCCATGTGGGTGCTGGGAATTGAACCCGGGTCCTCTGGAAGAGCAGTCAGTGCTCTTAACCACTGAGCCATCTCTCCAGCTGCCCGCCCCCCCCCACTCCCAATGCTCTTAAACCAGCAGTCTAAGAAGGGAATAACAGTGTTTGTCAGGAGGGGCGATTGATCCAGATTGCCATGGGGAAATTGGATTACTTCTCCACAATGCAGGTAAGAAAGATTACGTCTGGAGTACAGAAGATCCTTTAAGGCATCTCTTGGTGTCACCCTGTCCCGTGATTAAAGTTAATGGGAAACTAAAGCAGCCTCCTCCAGGCAGGGTGACAAAGGGCACAGACACGTCTGGAATGAAGGGATGGGTCACTCCTCCAGGTAAAGAGCCGAGACCTGCTGAGGTTCTTGCCAAGGAAATACAGAATGGGTAGTAAAGGAAGGTAGTTCTAAATACCAGCTGAGGCCACGTGACCAGCTACAGAAACAAAGATTATACTTAACATGAATGTTTCTGTTGTATTTTGGTGAGAATGCATTTGTACAGATAATTTGTGTTATCTTTCTTCAGTTTCTTTATCATGTGATATAATGTAAATTAAGAGACGATCAATGGTTATGATACTTAAGTTTGAGACATTAAAAGAATGTCTCTCAAGGGACATTGCCACCTATTCTAAATTTATCATACGTTTGTGGTTGTCTAAGGGATAAGTATATATGTTGGGTGTAATTATGACCTGGTTAAATAGATGATGTGTTTGTGATTGTATGTGGGTGTTATGACCTAGTTATTGTTTTCATTTGGAAATTAATTATGATATAAGAAGGTGATTGTCTGTCAGGTTGGCAAGGGGTGGGCTGTGACGGCTATTCTTGGTTGTCTAGTGGACTGCATCTGGAATTAACTAAAAATCCAAAAGTGGAGGGCACACCTGTGAGGGACTTTTGCTTAATTTGACATGGGTAGATCCACTTTCTTTTTCTTCGAATACAGGGTTTCTCTGTCAGCCCTGGCTGTCCAGGAACTCACTGTGTAGACCAGAATGGCCTTGCACTCAGATCCGCCTGCCTCCGACTCCAGAGTGTTGGGATTAAAGATACGTGCCACCATAGCCGGGCTTGCTAGACCCACTTCTCAGATAGATTTTGAGTCGGGAAGACATTCACCTTTAATCCGGATCTTGAGGTGGGAAGAACTAGGAAAGTTAGTCCCGGAGCGAGGAAGGGCCAGTTCAGTCCCATATCCAAGGCATGTGGGCCATGCCTTCTGCTGGAAGCTCTCCATAAATGAACATGAAAGAAGGAAGCTTTTGCTTTTTGCCTGTTTGCCCTTTTCTTGCCAGCACATCCATTCCTTCACTGGCACTGGCGTTAGAGCCTACTTCTACTTCTTCAGGGTCCCGGCACATACAGAAGACCAGCTGAGACAGTCAACCTTGTGGACGGAGCACCTGCTGGGTTCTTGGACTTCCGGTTCACAGCCAGCCATTGTTGGATTAGTTTTAAATCATTTTAATAAACCCCCTACCTATATAGAGATTCATTCTATAATTTCTGTTACTCTAGAGAACCCTAATACAGATAGATGCCAAAGACATCAATCACATACCACATGCTTTGGTGAAAAGACACAGAGAAATAAATATCCGACTGAACTGGTCCTCCTCCCTCCAGGCTAGCTTTCATAGTTCTGGAAGGCACTAATCAGGCTGCTTAGGGGAAAATTGTAACCAATGGTCCCACTTGGCTGGGGATTCTGGGAGCTACAGTATCAACAGGCCTGATGTGTCCATTGGTGAAACTGTTACCGTTACAAACAATTATTATCTGATTGGATTCCTGGACCTCATAAGAGAGAATTGGTGGCTGGTTCTGTAAACCAGGTCAAAAGCCCGTGGCTGGGGAAACCATAGACTTTCTGGAAGGCTGCTAAGTGATATGTATCTGTCTAATTGCCTCCTAAATATTTGTGTTTCTGCCCAACCATAGTACAGCTGTTATCTTGGTCAACGAAGTTTCTGTTACTGCAGAGACTCAACCGGTAGAAGTGTTTCTGAATGCCCAGCCCGAATGGTACAGCCTATCCAAGTCTCAGGGGACAACCTGGAAGAGGGAGGTGGAAGGATGGTAAGAGGTAGACCATTGTAGAAAGCGATCAGCACTGATTGTGGGGTGGGGGAGGGGCTCCCTGCCACCAGTGGATTTGTAGACAGTTGACAGGTGCGAGGGAAGTAAGGTTCACGAGCTCCCATCCTCCGGCTTTTGTAGGCAGTTAACAGTTGCTTGGCAGAGACATTTTTTATTCAGTGATATAGGCCATGCTCTTGTAACTGTAATTAAACTCATTAGTTCATCAACGGAGACTTGGACAGAATTGTTTCCTCGGTCTATTGAACAGAAGGTTGTTCTTCTCACCAGAGAAAGTTTATGCAAGTGGGGAAAGCAAGATACAGAGCCAGGCAGACAATAATGCTCTCTTCTGGGTTAAGGGGAATTGTGCCTGTGTTCACACACGTTACCACAAAGAAACACTAGAAAGTATCACTTGGTGCCTCAGGCGCCGATGCCTTCTACTGTGATTAGCACTAGAGTAAGTACACGTGAAGAAAAAAAAAGAAAAAAAAAACCATAAGCACTCAGACACTACAAAAGCAAAAACCTCAGACGTGATTTCCAACCTATAGCCGGACGTGGTAGTGTGAGCACGCTGGAGGCTGAGGCAGGAGGATTGGCGGAGCACTGCCAGAACTACAAAAAAAGTGGAGAGGATACATGTCAATGAGCTGGCCCAGGTGAGGTTCATAAGCCCAGCACGTGGCCCAAGTGCAGGAAAATAAGCAAGCTCACTTCACAAATGAACATCATGGAGCTGGAAAGGAAGGGCTGAGGGGACCCAAGTTGGATTTCCAGCACCCACATGGAGGTTCACAACCATAACGCTAGGCCCACGATGTACATGATCCACAGACATACACATAAAATAATTTTTAAAAATAAATGAACGTCACGAGAAGGAAGTGAAGAAACGGTTCCAGATGACTAAAGACCTAAGAAGTCCAGACAGTGGCTGCAGAGAGGCTCAGGTAGAGGAGCGAGATGTGTCTAAGGAGCTTTCCTGGGAGCATCCTGCCCCCCCCAACCCCCTCCAACCCCCCCCCCCCCCGCCGCCGCCGCCGCCGCCGCCGCCGCCGCCGCACCCGGTGGCCGCGCAGCCGCGTAGCTTTCCCGGTTCCGCCTCCGCCAATCTGGACCCTCCTCGCGTTCCGTTCGTGCGTGCAAGCGGGCGCCGAGCTGGCTGGGCCGCGGAGGGCAGATGGCGGACTCGCAGGCCTTCTGCGTGGCCGAGGAGCGCAGCGGCCACTGCGCCGTGGTGGACGGACACTTCCTCTACGTGTGGGGGGGCTACGTGGTAAGGGGAAGGGGCGGGCGCGCCGGGGCGGCGCGGGAGCGGCGGCTGGGGGATGACTGCCGGCACCGCTGCACCCCCAGCGGCTTCCAGGAGGCTCGCCTGCGCAGCGCACCCCACTCGCCGCGGGCCGCCCGTGGTCGCCCCGGCTCCCCAAACCACCCAACCGGGGTCCCGGGGTGCGTGCCTCCTCCAGCCTCCGTGGCGCAGGACTGGAGAAGACCCCAGGACGCTGTGCTGTGTTTTACTGTCTTTCTATTGCCACGGTGCGACTCAAAATACCCAAGTCACCAAGCAGTTAAATGTATCAGCTATTTTTAGTGGCGTTTCTTTGCTAATTAAGTACTTATGTGGTCTTAAAAATAGATTTGTATTCGCAACACCGCCCCACGGAATTCTGTGGTTGAAAATTCGATTTGCCATGGCGGTTGGAATGTGAGTTTGTTTTGTTTCTATGATCGGAGGATGATAGCAAGGATTATCGAGTTGGAAAAATAATTCAGGTTATCCACGCCAACCCCGTTCGTTTACGGATTAGAAAATAAGCCCCACGGAAGCCCTACTGGAAATAGACGCTACATCTTCTGACTTCTCTATACCTTTATATGACAGACCTGTAACCCGAGTGACTCACAATGAAATAAAGTGCATAATGTGTGTGTTAAGAATTCTCAGGTCCAAGTGGGTTTTTGTTGTTGTTTTGTGTGTTTATTCCTAATGTAGTGCAGTATCAGAAAAAAAAATCAGAATTAGTTTTTGAGAGTCCCTAGGAACTCTCAATCTTAACCAATAGGATCATAGATTACGGTCTAATCTGTATAGCCGACAAGTCTCCATTTTATTTTAATATTTTTAGATTTATGTACATGAATGTTTTGCCTGTATGTATGTCTTTGCGTCTTGTGTGTGCTTGCTGTCCGTGTAGGTCAGAAGAGGGTGTTGGATACTCGGAACTGGCATTACAGATGGTTGTGAGCCGCCACGTGGGTACTGGGAATCCAATCCAAGGTCTCTGCAAGAGCAGCCAGGGCTCTTAACCACTGAGCCGTCTCCCTAGCCCCAAGTCTCCATTTTATAAAGAAAGGCATTGACCCTTTGGTGGTCATATGACACCAGGGACTGCTTTCTGGAGCCTTGTTTTGTTAATTTAATTAACTGAGACATCTCAACACTGCAGCTCAAAGAGGCTGGCCTAGAATTTCCCGTGTAGCCCAGGTTTGCTCCAGAGTTAGGGCTAGCTTCCTGTTTTTGCCTCCCAGTGTTCAATCTTACAGGCAGGAGTGACCACAACTAGCTCTCCCTTTGTTTTTGGCTTTATCAGTTTTTGTTTGTTTGTTTGTTTTGTTTTGAAACTGGTCTCAGGTACCACCCTGGAGCTCCTGATCCTCCACCTTCCTCCTGAGTGTTGGGATTACTAGTGGTCCTTTCCTGGCCTGGCTTCATAATACATGATAATGGCTGTATGCACATATTACATATACAAATGATGGCTGTGTGCACATGAAGTTTTTAAATAATGTTTTTAAAGATCTACCACTTGGAGATATAGACTTACTAAATTTTATATGCTGTGTTATTATCGGGTTGTCTTGATAATGGTATAAGGTAAATGGAAAAAATTAAAATAATAATCTTTCCAGCCAGCTTGTGTAGCAGCATACCTGTAAGGCCTGAAGTTGGGAGGCAGAAGCAGGAGAAGCAGGAGCTGAAGGGCCTTCTCTGCTAGATTGTGAGTTCAAGGGTAGCCTGGACTACAAGACCTTGCCTCAAAAATAATAGTAATCTTCAAATATCTCATCTTTGTATGGATTCACCTTAACTCCATAAATGAAAAAGACCAGTGCGGAATTCTTTGGCGTTATAAAGGAAATGTTGGAATGTTTTAAATTTTTATTTTACTCTTGAAAATTGTAATCAGTAAGAGTCCAGTTCTCCAGAATATTTCAAAGAGCAGAGGCACTACACACACAACCCTGAAAAATACAACACAGATTAAATACTGGGTCTCTTCCTTTCTAAACCCCAAGAGTCAGCAGCAGTGTGGTAACACCTCAGGTGTAAGTGGGGGGGGGGGGAATCAGCAGTGTGGTAACGTCTCAGGTATAAGTGGGGGGAATCAGCAGTATGGTAAGGTTTCACGTGTAAGTGGGAGGGGGAAGTCATCATCAGTGCAGTAACACCTCAGGTATAAGTGGACGGGAAATAAAAGTAGGAAGCCAAAAAGACCGCATGCCTTATCTCCAGAAAATGCAGTATTCTTTCATCAACTGTCCTAGAAGGACCTTTGGAGCAGGAGACGGCTGAAAGGTCCAGGCAGCTGGAGGGATTCCAGCAGTCGGTGGTTAGGAATATGGTTGGCGTCGTCTGTTTTATATTCCAGTTTTCCTCGTTAATGCAAGCGGTGCCTGTGTGGAAGGTGACAGATGCGCGTCCTGAAAACAGATAGCTGTCCGAGGTGCTTCTTGCTTGAGTAATGAAGAGCAATGGATCTGAAGCTGGTCTCACGAGGCCAGTGCAGGTCTTGTTCTCTGCTCCCCTGTGCCTTTCCCAGTTTGTTGGCGTCCACACAGGCTGTCAATGCAGCTGGCAGGGCCGTGAAATGTGGGCGGTTTCCGAGATCGTGAAGGAAGAGTCATTGTCTGTCCATAGATGGTGGATCTTCCTCTCGGGACCTCAATCAGGCACTTATGTTTCTTAACAGGACTGATAAGGATGAATTTTTCTCTGAACTACTAGAAAATTTAATCTATAAATATGATAATCTTGCCTGTTATGTATGGAAGTTCTGTTTAGAAAATGTTTGAGGGGGTGAAGGGAGGAGGACTTTGGCGCCAGAGACTAAAGTGTGTCAGCGCGCTAAAGCAATCAGTGCCACAGGCTGGGAGAGAGATCGCAGGGACAGTCAGGCAATGTAACTGTTTTTGTTTGTAAAAGCAGCATTTTGAATCTGGATAACTAATTATACAATAAATGCTTCTTCTAAGATAGCTAGAGGAAAATTCCATCAGAGCCTTAGGACTGACAATTAAACAGGAAAACAGAACTTCGCTGTGGGGGAAGGAAGAGGACTATTTTAAAATTCTGGGTCGAGAAAAGAAAATCTGAGTTGGAAAAATATATAAAGAAAAAATTGACAGTTCAAAGTTTTTAAAATAGCTTTTATAAAAGCACCGCGAAATGAGAACCCTAATCTCAAATGAGGAAATATGTGTAATGTATATGGTAGACTCAAGTCCTACAAAAACCAAGAGCAGTTGGTAAGTGAGTTTCAAAGAAGTGGAGGACGCAGGAGGTAGAGTCCTTGCCTGTGCATATGAAGTCCTGGGTTGGGTTGGGAAGATGGCCGTGTGGTCCCCACTGCAATCCCAGCGCGGCAGAGGTGAGGCAGAGGGAGCAGATGTGCAGCTCATCCCTGGGGGAGCTAATAGGGAGCTAATAACCAGTCTGGGCCAGACTCTGTCAAAGAAGAAGATTTGAAAAAGTAGAAATAAAATAGGAGTAAAAACATAAAAGTCCATTACCTACCTGTAGAGTAGATATGATCAATATCTTGAATTTCTTCTTTGACACTATCACGCATACATCTATAAGCAGTATAGTATTTGATCTGAGAATTTAATTATAGCATAGTTTCCCTTTTAGGTTTATGCTTTTTTTGGGGGGAGGGTTATGCTTTGCTTTTCTAGACAGGGTTTCTCTGTGTAGCCCTGGCTGTCCTAGAACTCACTTTGTAGACCAGACAAGCCTTGAACTCACAGAGATCCACCTGCCTCTGTATCCTGAGTGTTGGAATCAAAGGCTTGTGCCACCACCTCGAGACACATGTTTTTTAAAATCAGTTTTAATTGTTCTTTTTAAAAATTGTTATGTGTATGTATGTATATGGCTGCTGTGTGTGGGAGTACCTACAGAGGCCAGAAGAGGGCACCAGATCCCCTGAAGTAGGAATAGCAAGTTGTGAGCCACTCAAGTGCCTGACTTGCATGCTGGGATCTGAACGGTCATCCTCTGGAAGACCAGCAAGTACTGTGCATGTTTGTATGTATGTATGAATGTAGGAATTTAGAGACAGGGTTTCTCTGAGTTCCTGGCTATCCTGGAACTCTCTCTGTAGACCAGGTTGACCTCAAACTCAAAGATCCACCTGCCTCTGCCTCCGAGTGCTGGGATTAAACCTAGAGATTTAGCTGTCTACTGCCATCACCACTAGCACCACCCCACCTCACCCCCTCTTAGTCCTCTTATTTATTATCCATTCCATTTCTTCAGGACCTGTGCTACAACTTCGCTAAATATCACCAAATAGTTCTCAAGTACACTGCAAGCCACGGTCCGTTACTGAAGTGTGTCCTATGCAGTGTTGCGCTGTGTAAGCTCGCTGTTACTCAGCTAGTCCACTTTTGGTGACTGTTGTTGTTGTTCATTGCTATAATGAGCAGCGGTAGCGAGCACCCTTACCTTGTCTATTACACATGCACAGGGCGTGTTCATTCTCTAGGGCCTGTACCACTTGTCAGGCAAACTGAATTGGAGATTTCAGACTGTTGACAAAATATTTGTATTAATTTGCATCTCCACCAGCCTCCTCATTCTTCCACATCCTAAACAACATTTGCTACCATCTGCCCTTAATTTTTCTGCCAACACAATGAGGGTGACATGGTATTTCATTGTAGTTTTGGTTTTCATTGCTCAGATTAATGATGTTTGCCGTGTGTGTGTGTGTGTGTGTGTGTGTGTGTGTGTGTGTAGAAGTGCAGGGACGTGTACTGTGGTGCATATGTGGAGGTCAAAGGACAACTTTGTGGAATTGGTTCTCTCCTTCCCTTTGTTTCGCCATGCTGCCTGCTGCTGCTGCAGATTCCAGGCGAGCTGGTGCTCATTTCTGGGTGATTCTCCTGTCTCCGCCCCATATCTGGGGTGCTGAACCAAGGTTCCCAGGCTTGTGTGGTAAGTGCTTTTACCCACAGAACCAGCTTGGTGGTCAAGGTATCAGTTTGTTTTCATAACTTTGTGATCTATTTGTGTTTTCTCTTTTGTGAAAATACTGGTCTATGCATTTTTCTGTTGGGTTGTGTTTATTTTTAAAGATTTACATAAATTCTTTTAGTGTATAGTTATATGAATTGAAAATGCTGGGCCAGGGAGATGGTTCAGCAGGTAAGGGCACTTAGTGTCAAATCTGATGACCTCAGATGGATCCCTGGGACCCACGCCATGGAAAGAAAGAACCAACACCCACTTGTGTCTTCTGATCTCCACATGGGTACTATGGCGCACACACACTAAACGTAAAAGAAAAGGAAAAGCCTCGCACACTGGAGACGTGGCTCAGTGCTTAAGAACACTGACTGCTCTGGAGGACTGGGATTCATTTCCCAGTGCCCGCAAGGTCGCTCACAATCTTTTGTAATTCCAGGCCCAAGGGATCCAACACCCTCTTCAGACCTCCTCAGCCATGTGGTGTGCAGACACACACACACACACACACACACACACACAAAAGCACTTACACATTTAAAAATAAATACAAATTGAAAAGAAAATGTCAGTTTGGAGTTTGTTTTTGTACTTTCTCAATAGTTCTTTCTTTGGCCAAAAGTTTTATATAATATTTTCTAATATAATTTTAATTCCAGCCCTTTTCTCAGTGCTCTGTGTTTTCTGTATCTTGTGCCCATTATTATTTTCTAAACATTTTAGTTTGCCTTTCATGTTCAAATCTTTCTTTAGTTGATTTTTGCTGTTGGTCTGGTTTAGTGTAAGGGATTTTGTATCTATCTATCTATCTATCTATCTATCTACCTATCTATCTAATCTACCTACCTACCTATCTAAACTATTCGATGTAGCACAAGTAATAAAAACCCAGAGACAGATATTGGGATTCAAAGCTGAAGATCAGAAAAGCAAAGCAACCAACAACTAGAGAGACCTTTTACCTCAGACCAAAAGGGTGAGATCCTGTCTCCACAAATCCTCAGACTCCACACTCCCGTGAGTTCCTGTCACCTCCCTAATGATGGGATTAAAGGTGTGAGCCCCCAACACCTGGATCTGTTTCTGGATTGATCTTGTGTAGCCCAGGGAAGCCTTGAACTCACAAGAGATCCTTTTGCCTCTGTCTCCTGAGTCCTGGGATTAAAGGGTGTGCCACCACCGCCTGACCTCTAGTGACTTAGCTTTGCATTCTGATCTTCAGGCAAGCTTTATTTATTAAAATACAAATAAAATATCACTACATACATATGTCCCCTTTTCCACTCTAAAAATTGTTGTTGGTGACATCTTTCTCCCTTAGATAATCTTGTCAGAGATTTATCAGCCTTTTGAATAATAAGCTCAATTTACTGGATCCTTTGTACTTTATTTTTCTGTTATTAGTATCTATTTTTATTACTTCTAGTATTCTGTGATTTATATAGTGGTTTTTGTTTGCTTTTGTTTGTTTGGGGGGCAGAGTCTTACTCTGTTGGCCCAGCTGTCCTGAAACTTGACATATAGACCAGACTGGCTTTGAACTGGTAGTCATCCTCCTGCCTCTCACTCCCAAGTGTGGGCTACCAGGCTCCTCCCCTCCTCCCTTATTCTGCTTTAGTTCTTGAATTTCTTGGTGTTTTTTTTTTCCAGGACTGAGAATTGAACCTAGGATCTTGCTAGCAAGCTCTGCTGCTAATCTATGTCTCAAGCCCTTTCTACTTTGGGTCCGTGCGTCACACTGGTCAGGTGCCCTTGAACTGAACTCACTCCAAGGCCCAGGCAGGCATTGAACTATTCCTGGCTCAGCTCCTTGAGTCACAGTTGCAGACTGCCCCACCAGGCTCATCTCCTCCTTGAACTGCCGAAGTTGGGTTCTTAGGTTGCTCCTTTAAATTGGCTAATATACTTGAGGCTGTGCATTTTCTTACAAATGCCTCTTTAGCTACAAGTTTGGGTAAGCAATATTTTGTCTTTTTACAATTCTAATTTTTTTAAATTGTTTTCAAGACTGGGTTTCTCTGACTGGTTTGTAGCCCTGACTTTCCTGGAACTTTCTCTGTAGACCAGGCTGGCTTCGAACTCACAGAGATCTGCCTGCCTCTGCCTCCCAAGTGCTGGGATGACAGGTATGCGCCACCACTGCCTCGCATACTTTATATTTTCCATTAGTTGTTGAACCTGTAGTTTACTTAAGGAAGCATTCAAAATTTCTGTACTTACAACAGTATTCTTTTAAATATTATTTATTTATTTATTTATTTATTTATTTAATTGTTTGTCTGAGACAGGGTTTCTTTGTCTAGCCCTGGGTGGCCTGGAACTCTCTCTGTAGACCAGGCTGGCCTCGTACTCACAGAGATCCTAGAGATTTTCTGCCTTTCCTCCTGAGCTGCGGTGAAAGGCATGTGCCTCCACACCAGCCTGGTGCACTCATCACCGAACGTGTCTTATGTGTTCTCCTCTCGGCTGTTCCTCATTCTCCTTCCTTAACTTTTGCAATTTGAGGATTGCTTCAGAAGGGTTTGTTCTTCAGTTTCTTTTTGTTTACGTAGAAATTACGCAACTTATTTTTAGTCATTTTATTGCTCCCCTACTTACATTCATAGGAACGCTTCATAAAGTTCAAGGTGAAAATCTGCGCTTGTTTATTTCTATGTGTCTGTGTTGCCAGGTGGGGTGTGTGATCTGAAGACAGTTTGCAGGAATTAGTTCTCTTCTTCCACCATGACAGTCCCCAGAGATGTCATTCAGGTTATGGACTCTTTTCCACGTTAAATCTTTGTGTTGACTCTCAAAGTTCAAAGGTCAAGGGCCAAGCCAGGGTGCTGTACAGCTGGCCGCTAGAGCACCTGCATAGCCTGCACAAAAGCCACGGGCACAGGCTGTGACAACAGCATCTACTACAGATAATTCAGTGCAGATGGTTGGTTGGTTCTTTGGTTTTTCTGTGATGGGAGCAGAGGAGTGGAAAGAGGAAGTCGAGAATGGTTCTGGTTTTGAAAGATGGATCAGATCCTATTTGGGACGATTCATAGGGATGATCCAATGGAAAAGGAAACTTGATTTAGAAGAGAGGAGATTGGTTTGGAGAGCCATCCCAGTGGCTAAGAGTGCTTCCTGCTCTTCAACAAGCCCCTGATTCGGTTCCCAGCAGCCATGTCGGATGGCTCATAAACACCTGTAACTCCAGCCCCAAGGGATTCCATGCCTCTGGCCTTCATGTGCACCTGCACAGACACGCACACACACACACACACACACACACACACACACACACACATAAATTTTTTTAAGCTCCATTTAAGAAGGTGTAATGCGGGGGTGAAGGCTCTGAGCAACTAGTGCCAACTTCTCTGACTTGGGCTTCACTTGTGTTTCTGTATCCCCCGTGAAATGTTAGTCAAACAGAGCTTTTCAATTCCTGGCTAAAGCGAAGCTGCAGTCAGTTCTTCAGGAATTAGCCTGCTTGGCTATCCAGTATAAATTCCATTTGCCATAGCCAGCCAATGATGGTGCACACCTTAATCCCAGCACTCAGGAGGCAGAGGCAGGGTGATCTCAGTGAGTCTGAGGCCAGCCTGGTCTACAGAGTGAGTTCCAGGACAGTCAGGGCTACACAGAGAAACCCTGTCTGAAAAACAAACAAAAAATTCCATTTGCCTTTTACATATGAGGCGTTCTGGCACTAGCTCTGTAGACCAGGCTGGCCTCGAATGCAGAGGTCCACCTGTCTCTATGAGGACACTGTCCAAAGCTCTGAGAAATTAACTATAACAAGTAGATGTGACCTCTGCCCCTGTGGTGTTTATGGTGAGCTGCAGGCCTGTCTGAACAAAGTGAAGCCCTTTCTCAAACAAAGAAAAAACAAATAATTTTTTAAGGTGTAATGAGGTCTGAGATAAGAGCTTTCCAGCCTGCTGGGGGAAATAGTGTTCAGGACGAGGAATCAGGCGTGAAACAGCCTTCAGAGCCGGCGATGCCGAGGACACAGCAGGCACTCACAGAGCAGTACTCTGATGTTAGAACTGTCAGCCTGCAAACTACCGCATGGAGACCTTCATTAATTGTGACAGCTTGGCCATCAGCTTAGCCACTGTCCCATTAGCTCTTATAACTTAACCTGCTTTAGTAATCTACCTTCTTCCATGTGGCCCGGCTACCTCTGCTTTGCACCCTATGTCCAACCTCTCCAGTGTCTCCTTGACCTCCCCACACTACCCATCCTGCTTCCTCGGCATCTGGGTGGTAACTCTGCCTTTCTTCTCCCTAGAGTCCTCTGTCCCCTGGAAGTCCCACCTAACTAACCTCTTCCTTCCTAGCTATTGGCTGTTCAGACCTTTATTACACCAATCACAGCAATCCATCTTCACACAGGGTACAAATACCCTACAGCACACTCCAAATGTGTTCAGTGTGTGAAGGTTATATCTTCAGAAAAGCCCTTCTTTCCCTAGCTCTCTTCACCCCAAGCAGTCTTCTGTAATGTGTGACCTACAATGCTCTGCTGTGTCTTTAGTTGTTTTTCTAGGTGAAAGTTTAGCTACCCTGAGCCTTTCACTTGAGACTCATGTATTTCTCGTTTTATTCTAAACATTGATTTCAGTTTTTCTCACCCCAAGGAACTATTTGAACTTTATTCGTGAAGAACATAATAAAAGTGGTAATTTTGTGCGTTCTTCGTTTTTAGTCTATTGAAGACAATGAGGTGTACTTGCCGAGCGATGAACTTTGGACCTACGACATTGACAGCGGGCTGTGGTGAGTACTGTCATAGCACAAAATGCAAGTCTTCTAACTCAGAGCCCTCGTAGACCCTAGGGGACAAGAGCAGGCTTCACACACCCTACGTTCACAATGTTTCCTCCTCTCTCTACAGTTCTTTCCCTCCCTCTGTCCTTCCCCATCCCTTTCAAAGCCTTCACTGTCTCTGAATAGGGTTTTACTCAGCGTGACTCAGCATGAGAACTTCTTTGACTCTCCCCTCCCAGGCAGGACGACAGTCTTTATTGTGGGTCTCTTCACACTTCTTTATTTATTCATTGTTTTCTTTTATTTGGGGATAGGGTCTCACATTGTAACCCAGACAGGTCCCCAACTCTCATCTTCCTGTCTCAGTCTCCCCAGGGCTGGGATTACAGGTGTGTGTGATGGCACCTGGCTATACATTTTGCTTCCAGTTGGCTATGGGAAGAGTACTCAGGGAATTTAAAGGGAGCTTCTGTCTGCTAGGAAAGTAAGAGATTCTCTGTGGTCCTTGTTGTAGGAAAATGCACCTGATGGAAGGAGAGCTCCCCACCTCCATGTCGGGAAGCTGTGGGGCTTGCATCAACGGCAGGCTGTACGTTTTTGGAGGCTATGATGACAAAGGCTACAGCAACCGAGTAATCCTTTCTCCTACCTCAAGAGTGCGGCTACATGAGTCCCTAATGTGCCATCTCATGCCACACATCTGCAAATCCTTTAAGGAGAATACAGCTGGAGGGCATCCTAAGTTTAGAGTCGTTAGACTTCAAAGCTAGATGGAGGGTGCAGCAGCCGTGTTCTTCCGTGTGTCCCTCCTTCAGTGAGCTGCGTTCTTGAATGTTGCCCACAGGCAAGAGCAGGGGGGAAGGGGCTGTTGCAGTATGTTCTCCACACCATTGCTTTTGTAATCCCATCTTGTTTTCATCAATTTTATAATTTAAATTTTCTAATGGGTATTTATTGGAAATAAAAGTTGGGTTAGTTTTTGGATGGAAGACCCTCCCCACCCCCTCCCACCTCCCCACCCCCCGCATACAGAGTTCATTTCCAGATGTGTTGGCTCCTAATGTTACTGTCATCTTTTCAAAGCTCTACTTTGTCAACTTACGAACAAGAGATGGAACTTATGTCTGGGAAAAAGTCACCAAGTTTGATGGACAACCACCCACACCACGTGACAAACTTTCCTGCTGGGTGTTCAAAGACAGGTAAAGCGGCACCTGAACTTTAATATCCTTAGATTAGGATATAGCCTTTGGCCAAGCTTGAGGAATCACCATGTTTTCTAGTAATTATAATTTGTTTTGATGTCAGTGGCAACAGCGCCCTAAAACTGGTAAGAACCATGTTATAAAAGTGAACATGGGAGCTGGGCGGTGGTGGTGCACGCCTTTAATCCCAGCACTTGGGAGGCAGAGGCAGGTGGATCTCTGTGACTTCAAGACCAGTTTGGTCTTGTCCAAGAGCTAGTTCTAGGACAACAAGATCCAAAGCTGCAGAGAAACCGTGTCAAAAAACCAAAAAACAAACAAACAAAGGAACCAAAAAAAAAAAAAAAACCCAAAACCAAAAATCAACCAACCAAATAAACAAACAAAAACAAGGAAGAAACGATGTTTGGATTTTTCACCTTGAATAATTTATTTATGTTTCTAGATCATTATCACACTGACCTGTTAAAATCTGAAGCCGTATTGAAAAGTGCACACGGAAGGCCAGCTTCCTCTGTCTACCCTGTCCACCATGTTGGCCCCTTTGCCCCCACCACAAAGAGCCCCTAAGTCTGTGTTTCTTTTCTTCTTGGGTGTGGCTTCCACACATCTGCTACTGGAAACTTCTAAAGCTCCAAACGCTATTCAAGCACAGTCCCTGGTGGTCTGACTTTTTCAGATTCCTCAGATGACTCCTGGGTACAACTTTGCTCTGATCCAGGTGCTTCCAGCAGTTGAAAGTTTAAATTATCTCCAGGGGATTTGCTCACCTGCCCTCTTGAACTTCAGCTTTTTCCCCTTCAGTTCTTCAGCGGACCCAGCTAGGCAAGCACTCTGCTACTAATTATCCCGCAAGCCCTGGTCCAGCTTTTGAAGGCCATGCTGAGCTTCCCTAAAGACTACAAGAGTCGGACAAGTGTTCAGTCCCCTGAGGCTGACTTTCCTCTGACTCCTTTGCCATCCCAGCCCAAGCATGACTGCTGGCAGCGGGGTGGTTTTTCTTTGCACGTCCCCACGTACCTAGTGGCACCTTTCTCCTGCCCTTGCAGGAGGCATGAGGAAGCCTGTGGATCTCTTCTCTCCCACTGTAGGTTCATCACCTGCTGCGGTTATTTCCTTCCTGTCTCGTTCCCTGAATTCTTTGTTTTTTTAAACCCTAATTGTGTAGTTTATTTGGCTTGTTTAGGTGGGTAAGGTAAGAGAAGAAATCAATTTCAAATTTGTTTTTTTAAGAAATGATTTATGGAGCTGAGGGGGGTGGTGCACTTTAATCCCAGCAGTGGGGAGGCAAAGGCAGACAAATCTCTGTGAATTCGAAGTCAGGCTGGTCTACAAAGCAAGTTCCAGGATAGCTAAGGCTGTTACTCAGAGAAACCCTGTCTCAAAACACCAAAGCAAATAAATAAATAAAATAAAAATGATTTATTACTTATTTTTATATCATGTGCATTGGTGTTTTGCCTGCATGTATGAGAGTATTGCATTCCCTGGAGTTGTGAGCTGCCATGTGGGAATTGAACCCTGATCCTCTGGAAGAGTAGCCAGTGCTCTGAACCTCTGAACCATCTCTTCAGCCCCTCAAATTCTTTTTGTTTATGTGACTTTTGCTGCAGGGTCTCATTCTGGAGTTGGCCTAGAATTCATTAAGTAGCCCAGGCTGACTTGGGAACACATGATAATCCTCCTGTCTCAGCTTCCTGAGTGCTAGAATTGCAGACCTGAGCAACGGTGCCCAGCTGTTTCAACTATCTGAGCAAACTAGAAACAAGACTCCTAAAGTTTGTCCTCTGCGTTTGTTTTTCAGATTAATATATTTTGGTGGTTATGGGTACAGGAGGCACAGTGAACTTCAAGACTGTTTTGATGTACATGATGCATCTTGGGTAAGGAAGTAATCAATCACTCTTTAATTTTTTTCTTTAATTCAGCATCACTATAAGCCTTAGGAATAATGAATTGCCCCCCCCCCACTCTTCTCTCTCTCTCTCTCTCTCTCTCTCTTTCTCTCTCTCTCTTTCTCTCTCTCTTCCTCCCTTTTGTTTTTCAAGACAGGGTTTCTCTGTGTAGCTTTGGAGTCTGTCCTGGAACTCACTCTGTGGACCAGGCTCGGCTCGAACTCATAGAGATCCACCTGCCTCTGCCTCCCAAGTACTGGGATTAATCATGCCCAGATATGAAAAACATTTTTTAGAAAGGGGAACCAAATTTCTTGGTAAAATAGAAGGGATCAATTAGAGTTTAACTTTAAATTTACTTACTTACTTACTGGGTTTTTTTTTTTTTGTTTTTTGTTTTTTTGAGACAGGGTTTTTCTGTGTAGCCCTGGCTGTCCTAGAACTCACTCTGTAGACCAGGTTGACCTTAAACTCAGAGATCCCCCGCTGTGCCTCCTGAGTGTTGGGATTAAAGGCTTGCACCATCATGCCTGGTGAATTTAACATTTTTTTACCTTTATTTTTATATTATGTGTATAGATGTTCTGCCTGCATGTATGTCTGTACACCATGTGTGTGTAGTGCTGGCAGAGGCCAGAAGAGGGTGTTGGATCCCACGGGACTGGAGTTACAAACAGTTGTGAGCTTCCCTGTGGGTGCTGGGGGTTGAACCTGGGTCCTCCAGGAGAACAGTCAGTGCTCTTAAGTGTTGAGCAGTCTTTCCATCCCATTCCCCTCCCCCACCCCCAATTAGTACTTTTTTTAAAGCAGCAAACAACAGCCAACTAAAGTTTATTATAGCAAAGATAAGTTTTGAAATAGGTCTCAAAATATAAATGTTCATTCTGTCTCATACAACTGAGGAAGTGAAAACCTGCTGAGTGAGGGAGTCGTGGTACTGGAGACCGGCAGCAGCACGGCGTGGGCTTGAGGGCAGCTGTGGGGTGTGGCGTGGGCCGGGCTTTGCCACCGTGGCGACGCTGCCTGTCACTTCACCTTCACCAGTACATGTGTGGTGGAACTGTGCTGGTGTTTCAGCCACAGAGCTCCTAACCGATTGTTTCTGTTTTAGGAAGAGCAGATCTTCTGGGGGTGGCACAATGATGTCCATGTGTTTGACACAAAGACAAGGACTTGGTCTCAACCTGAAATTAAAGTAAGCGCTAAATTCCCTGGAGCCTCCGGAGCCGGAGCCCTTCCTCTGAGCCCAGCCCACTCTCATTCTTACCAGCTTTTCCTTTCTTGAGAAACTCTTTCTGTGTGTTTGTTTCTGCGTGGGAGTGCTATTTTTATATCCATTGATATTTTAAAAATGCCTTTTTCCTAAGTTACTTGATTTTAGTAATTGGGTTTGTAATTGCATGAAAAATAATTCTCCCTCTCTCCCTCCCTTTTCTGTCTTTGGTGTTTTGAGAGGGTCTCACTATGTGGACTACACTGATGTGGACTGCTGACCTAGAACTTGCAATCCTCCCTGACCTTTACATCCTTGGTGCTAGGTTACAATTACTGAGACAGGGGTTTTCTGTGAAGCCTTATCTGTCCTGGAACTCACTCTGTAGACCAGGCTGGCCCTGAACTCACAGAGATCCGCCTGCCTCTGCCTCCCAGGTGTACCTACCCCAACACCGCCCAGCCAGCTTTTCATTTTTAAGAAAGAGTCTCACGTAGTCTCACGTGTCTCGGCAGACCTCAAGCTTGCTGTGTGGTCGAGACTGGCCTCCCGTGCAGCTATTCCAGGCGTGGCTCTCTGCAGCCCCCCCCCCCCCCCCCCCCCCCCCCCGTGTCTGTGGAATTAGCAGCTCTCTTACAAAGCCCTTTTAAAACAGAGTCCAAGAGTTTTTTCTTTCTTTTTCCCCAGTGCTAGATCAAGTGAACAGCCTCATACGTACTAGACTTGTTCTCCACCATGGAACTGTACCCTCAGCTCAACACCTGTGTTTTTACAAACCCGTGAGCTACATGCGATTCTACCAAGAGAAAACATATTATCACTATTATTTTATTCTGAACCAAACATAAATTCAGATTCATTTAAACAGTATATAGAAATCAAACAGATCAACACCTTTTAAAGATTTATTTTTATTTTATGTGAATGGGTGTATTGACCGCATGGATATGTGGGAAACGTGTGTATTGCCCGAGGAGCCTGGAAGAGGGCGTTGGATCCCCTGGAACTGGAGTTACGGAGGGTTGTGAGCTGCCATGTGGTGCTGAGGACTGAAGTAGGTCCTCTGCAGGAGCAGTCTGTGCTCCTGGCCGGTGAGCATCCCTCTAGCTCTAGGGACCAACTTTTTAAAATGATTTTTTCTCAATTTAACAGTTACAGAGGTAAATGCTAATTCTTTATACCAGCTGGATTTCAGTACGGTTATTCAAGTGAGCCTGAAACATCAGCTGAGCTTCATTCAAGATAAAGGATAGAGAAGTATTTTTTTTATAGTCTAAGAATTTTAGGAAGAGAAAAACAACAAAAAACCCAACTTCTAAAATCCAATATTGCCTAGGAAATGAGAAGGGCTTAAGCTTGACTTAAACCATCAATGAAGTTGTTTTGTGAATTTGAGGACTTTGGAAGCCATGAGGAAATTCTTAGTCTCTATGATGTAATATTAGATCTTTGGTTTGGAGTAAGGGAAGAAAACAGGAGTGATTTTTTTAAATCTGATTTTAAAAATCTTTATATTTCAAGCTAAATTTATATGAACTTTCATTTTTTCGGGGTGGTGGGCATTTAAGGACAGAGGGGTGCGTTTTCTTCTTGAAGAAGCTATTTGTAGTTCTGACTGAGCACAGGATGTGGCTGGTACAGCTGCCTCAAGTCTGCCTCTGTTCTGATCTCTGCTTGCAGGGTGGAGTTCCGCCACAGCCACGAGCCGCGCATTCATGTGCAGTTCTGGGAAATAAAGGGTATATCTTTGGCGGACGCGTTTTGGTCAGTGTTTTCAATGGAAATGATATTTTCGTGGGTGATGTTTATCAAAACTTGTCCTCTGACTCTGTGGAGCATCTGAACATTCAAATAACCTAAGAGATTAAGCTGCACCTAGTGCTAATTTGTATTTGTCTTCTGTTTCCCAAAGAGACCCTCCACACTGTCATAGATGATTTTTAATTGTATTTTAGTGAGGACCCTCCACTTGCGTGCAGGGTCAGGAATGTTTAGTTTCTTAACATCTAAGCTGTTACTTTAAACCATCTCTTCCATTTGCTTCTCTGGCACATTATTCTGGGAGCTCCATATTAATTTTCTTAATCCTTAGAATTGATTTCCAGTATTTAAGCTTCCAGTGCTCAGTAGACTAGGGCAATTCATGCTTGATCTGAACTTGTTTGCAAACTAACATTTTATTCCATAAAAGAGTTAAAACGCTATCCAATCATTATGCTTTTTATTTCAGCAAACTAGAATGAATGACCTACACTATCTAAACTTGGATACCTGGACTTGGTCTGGCAGGTGAGTCTGAAGACCACGGTCCACTCTGGAGGGATGGGTGTGGGCGGAATCCAAACTTGGGTTTCTGACATTGAGCTGATATTTTTTTAGATTATGTACCTAAACAAAAAACATGAAATTTAAATTTTTTTCCCTTGCTCCCTCCCTTTTAAGACAGAATCTCACCAAGTAGCCCGGGCTGGCCTTGAATTCTGGTTGTCCTGCCTCAGCCTCCCAAGTGAAAGGATTCCAGGTACCACAGTCAGCTAAATGGGGTTTGTGCAAATTATAAAAAGCATAAAAATAGTAAGAGTTGAAAAGAATCATGTGAAAATATCGGCTTTAGAGTAAGTATTCTTTGGGGACTCGTCTAGTGGAGATGGAGTGGCTGGTGGAATCATTCCACACACCTTCACCTAGATAATGAAATGGATGAAAGACAGATTACATATTAACCTGGATATTCCTGTAATGCAGTGTAATCAGGGCTATATATTATTATAAAGTATAAATACTATTAAAGATAAAACCATAGGCTAGTTGATGGTGGTATGAACCTTTAATCCCAGCACTTGGAAGGCAGAGGCAGGCAGATTTCTGAGTTTGAGGCCAGCCTGGTCTATAGAGTGAGTTCCAGAACAGCCAGGGCTATACAGAGAAACCCTGTCTAGAAAAAAACCAAAATAAATAAATAAATAAAACCACGAGGACTAGGGAAGTAGCTCAGCCAGGAAGTGCTTGCCTAGCAGACATGAGGTCCCAGCTCAGGTCCCCAGAACCCATATAAAAAACCAGGTATGGTGTGTGAGCTTCCAGTCACAGCCCTAGGGAGGCAGAGAGAGGTGGATTCTTAGGGCTAACTGGCCAATCAGCCTTCCTGAGCCGGCAAGTTCCAGGCGGGTGAAAATCCCTGTCACATATAAACACACAAACAAAGCTAATGTAGACAGCTCCTGAGTCACAGCCCTGTTGCTGGCCTTTGGCCTCCACACATACACAAATAAAACCATGACTAGCCAGACACAGTGCTACACACAAGTAATCTCACTAGTATACTCAGGAGGCTGAGGCAGGAAGACAGTGAGTTTGGGGTTAGCTTTGGCTACATGGCAAATTTGAGACCTGACTGAGGTATATAGCAAGACCCTGTCTTTAAAACAACACAAACCCCAGCAAATAAAAAAATAAAACCATAAAAGTGTGAGAAGAGCTGGGTGGTGGTGGAGCACGCCTTTAATCCCAGCACTTGGGAGTCAGAGGCAGGCGGATCTCTGTGAGTTCGAGGCCAGCCTGGTCTACAGGGCTAGTGCTAGAATAGGCTCCAAAGCTACAGAGAAACCCTGTCTTAAAACAAACAAACTAAAAGTGTGAGAAGAAAATATCTAGTTATTCTTAAAACTTTGGCATTAAATATTATGTAACCCTGAACTCGGTAAGTAAGAAAGACTTATTCATAAAACCAGCTAAAGATTAAAAATTTCTCTACAAAAAAAGTACACAAAATACTAAAAGGCATATTGGAAAATGGAAACCAGAAGTAAACTGAAAGCAATATTTATTTATAGCCTTTTTTTTCTTTTAGAGAGAAAGTTGAAGTCAAAAGTCCCCAAGAACTCTTAGAGGGGAAAAACCCGACAATCTAGTAGGAAAGCGGGAAGGACACAGAGGAGCAGCTCCCAGAAGGAATGGGTGCCCAGAGGCCACCCGAGGCCACCCGTGCTGAGCTGTGGCAGCACACTTGGTAGAAGTATGGCCGGCACAGTTTCTTCCTGAAAGGTAGCCTACAGTGTGCTTCAGCTAGACACTGGAGCGGGCGGTGGTGGTGCAGGCCTTTTCTCCCAACACTCGGGAGGCAGAGACAGGTAGAGCTCTGGAGTTTGAGGCCAGCCTGGTCTACAGAGTGAGTTCCAGGCCAGCCTGGTCTACAGAGTGAGTTCCAGGCCAGCCTGGTCTACAGAGTGAGTTCCAGGCCAGCCTGGTCTACAGAGTGAGTTCCAGGCCAGCCTGGTCTACAGAGTGAGTTTCAGGACAGCTTGGTCTACAGAGTGAGTTTCAGGACAGCCTGGTCTATAGAGTGAGACGCTGTCACAAAGAAACAAAAAGAAAAGAAAGTTTAATTTTGACTCAGGAATTCTCTGAAGACAATGCAAGTATATTTATGGATATGAATGTGTGTGTATGAATCTAAAAAAAAATGCTTATTGCAACTTTCAACAAGAGACGGCTCAGCAGTTAGGAGCATTGGCTGCTCTTCCAGAGGACCCGCATTTGGTTCCCAGCATCCACATGGTGACTTACAACTGCCTGTAACTCCAGATCCAGGGTACCCTCACACAAACACACACCAATGCACATAAAATAAAAAATAAACTAAAGAAGCCGGGCGGTGGTGGCGCACGCCTTTAATCCCAGCACTCGGGAGGCAGAGACAGGTGGATCTCTGTGAGTTCAAGGCCAGCCTGGTCTACAGAGCTAGTTCCAGGATAGGCTCCAAAGCCACAGAGAAACCCTGTCTCGAAAAAACCAAAATAAAATAAAATAAAATAAAATAAAAATAAAGAAATAAACTAAAGATAAAAGTACTGGGCAGCGGTGGTGCACACCTTTAATCCCAGCATTCAGGAGGCAGAGGCAGGTGGATCTCTGAGTTTGAGCCAGCCTGGTCTACAGAGTGAGTTCCAGGACAGCCAGAGCTATGTAGAGAAATTGTTTCCAAACAAAAAGCAAAACAAACAGCAACAACAACCAAAACAATGAAACCCAACTAAAAATAAAAACAAAGCCTGGACAAAGCTTGATCTCAGTCCTTCTGTCTGCTGTAGGATTGTTTACATCGCAGGACCTGTGCCCAGGGCTGCCAGGCTTCCAGTGCCAAAAGACACTGCTCTGTGGAAGCCTGAGGGTCATACTGAGAGAAATGGGTGCAGAGCAATGTGTGATCCAGTCTGTCTTCTTAGGAAGCACAATTAGCATGCACATAGAAGTCCTCAAAGATTGGGCCAAATTAATATTCATTCCCGTTGCTGAGGGGCAAGGCTATAGTAGTCTCCTTTTAAAACATATTTTCGTACTTGTTAAATGATTTATAACCAAGTATTTATTTTCCTTTGTTTTCTCTTTCCTCCATTTTTTCTCCTTCCTTCCCTCCCTTCTTTATTCCCCTCCCCTCCTCCATTCCTGTCTCTTTCTTTCCCAGCAAGATATCTGTATATAGCTCAAGCTGACCTTGAAGTTACTGTGTAGCCCAGGATATCCTCAAATGCACGATCTTGGGGTGCTGGGATTGCAAGTGTGCACCTCCACTCCCCAGCTCAAGTTTTCCTTTAAGATCTGAGATGAGCCTGGGGTGGTGGTGGCGCACACCTTTAATCCCAGAACTGGGGAGGCACAGGCAGGGGGATCTCTGTGAGTTCGGGGCCAGCTTCGTCTACAAGAGCTAGTTCCAGAACAGACCCCAAAGCTACAAAGAAACCTGTCTCAAAAAACAAAAACAAAAAACAAACAAAAAGAAGATTTGAGATGAGCGTGGTGCTCAGTGCATAGCACCAATGGCCAAGGCAGGAACACTGTGAGCCAGAGGCCAGCCTGGCTGCGTGATGAGGCTGTGCTGGGGAAAAATAAGACCTGAGATGATTAAAAAAAAAAAACAAAAAACAAAACAAAACAAAAAAAAACCTCATTTTGTTTAATTCAAAGTTTGAGTTTATTTTTTTTCCTTGCTACAGGATTTCTGTTAATGAAGAGAGCCCCAAACCTCGGTCATGGCACACGCTGACAGCAATCGCTGATGACAAGCTTTTCCTATTTGGTGGACTAAGTGCAGACAATGTTCCTCTGAGTAAGTCCATACAGCCTAGCATACGGACATTTCCTCCCTTACCCCAAGTCCTGTGGTGTGCAGTACCCAGGTGGCAGGCATCCAGGGAAGGGCGTATCCGTGTCCCAGTCCCTGCCTGAGGCGTGTGGGAGCCTGAGGGGGCCTCTGTCCTGGGGGTGTGGATGGTTAGAAACCGTTTTTCATTTCTTCCTGTTCTGTGTGTGAGAGCGCATGAATGTATATGTGAGATGTGCCTATGCGCATGTGTGGAAGACAGGACAGCATATGAGAGCTGGGTCTCTCCTAATACCATGTGGGCTCCAGGGGTCAAACTTAGGTCACTGGGCTTTGCAGCTGGTACCTTTACCTTCTAAGCCATTGCTCTCTCTCTGGTTTTTTGGTTTTTTTTTTTTTTTTTGATTAATTATAGTTCATAGTTATACTGAAGTCATTCTTTTCTCCCAGTATTCTTAACCATATATCTGCAGGGTGGGATTATAATTCACTGGTAGAATGTTTACCTGACATGTACCTGGTCAAGGCCCTAAGAGAGAGGACAGAGAGAGAAAACTTAAAGCCCCCTTCCCTCCCCACATCCCATGATCCTGCGTCAGGACTGTCTGTCCAGAAGCTGTTGTACTGTAAGCCAGAATGTGGACGGCAGTCTTCCCTGAGGCTGGAAGCGCAAGGTGAAGCCAACATCTTCTTTTTGTTCTAGAACTACAGAATGCTCAGTGGGATCCTGTAACTCCTCTCATTGGTGCTTTGTTTGTTTGTTTTACATTTATTTATTCATTTGTGTATGTATTGTGTGAGTGTGTGTGTGTGTCCCACACTGACTTGTAGAGGTCAGAGAACAGCTTGTGGGCGTCGGTTATCTCCTGCCATTCTGTGGGCTTCAGGGTCGGAGCCCAGGTCCTCAGGTCTGGGCAGCAAGCACTGCGATCCACTGAGCTGTCTCTCTGGCTCAGAAGTCTGGTGCTCCTGTTACTGCTGGTTCTAGTAGCTGTGAGTATTCCAGTGAAGTTCTTTTCGTATCAGTAAATTGCGGCATCAGGACACACAACCGACAAGGGTACGCATGGCTGGGTTTGACATGTTAGATTATTTTCTTAACTATTTTTTTTCGTTTTATTTATTTATTTGTGTGTATGTACACATGTGCCATGACATGGGTGTGGAAATTAGAAGACAGCTTTACGGAGTCAGTTCTCGTCTTCCAGGTGGATTCTAGGAACCACTCTCAAGTCTTGACAACAGATGCATTTATCTGTTAAGCCATCTTGTGGGCTCTTTTTTTGAAATTTATTTGTTTTATATGTATTGGTGCTTTGCTTACATGCATGTTTGTGTGAGGATGCCACATCCCCTGGAACTGGAGTTATAGACAGTTCTGAGCTGCCACCTGGGTGCAGGAATTGAACCCGCGTCCTCTGGATGAGCAGCCAGTACTCTATAGCATGAATTCTAATTAGTCTTAATAAATAATACCCAGAGTCAGATATTAGGGGGTGAAAACTGAAGAGAAGCAGAGCAGCCAGCCACTAGAGAGACCTTTTACCTCTACCAGTGCTCAGACCAAAGGGGGGTCCTGTGCTTAGACTGTCACTTCAGACTGCAGCTCAGACTACAGGTGCAGGGGTGATCCTCAGACTGCAGCTCAGACTACAGGTGCAGGGGTGATGCTCAGACTGCAGCTCAGACTACAGGTGCAGGGGTGATCCTCAGACTGCAGCTCAGACTACAGGTGCAGGGGTGATGCTCAGACTGCAGCTCAGACTACAGGTGCAGGGGTGATGCTCAGACTGCACCTCAGACTACAGGTGCAGGGGTGATGCTCAGACTGCAGCTCAGACTACAGGTGCAGGGATGATGCTCAGACTGCAGCTGTCTCCCCCAAACCTCAGACAGCAGTGAACTCCTGTCTTCTTCATTATATTCCTCTCTCTGCCCAGCCATATCATTCCTATTTCTTCCCCTAGTGCTGGGGTTAAAGGCATGGGATTTGTGTAAATTCTCTTTCTTTTTGAGACTGGATCAATCTCATGTAGCCTAGGGTGTCCTTGAACTAACAGAGATCTATTTGCCTGTCTCCCGAATCCTGGGATTAAAGGTATGAGCCACCACCAATGCCTGGCCTCTGGTGGCTTACCTCTGTGCTCTGATCTTCAGGCAAGTTTTATTTGTTAAAATATAAACAAATGTCACCACACTGCTCTTAACCACTGAGCCATCTCTCCAGACCTAGGCTTGCTATTTTTGATCATTAGCATATGGGAAGTTGAATTATCTAACACTTCCTTATAGAGTAAGATGAAGATTTGGTTGCATGGGTACCAGAACATTTAGTTTTGTGTCCATTCATCTTGGCAATGTGTACTGACATGTTTACGGGGAGAATCACGCAAGACCTAGAATCATGCAAGATGTAAGAAGTCACAGGAAGGACAACACAGACAAATAGCACATGTGGCCGAGCTCTTCTCTTCTCTCTCTCTCTTCCTCCTTCCTGTTCCTTCTTCCCCTCTTGTCTTTCCTTTTTCTTCTCTTTGGCTGACATTGAGCCCAGGGCTCACTTGTGCTAAATGGACTTGAGTATAAGCCCAAACTTTGATGGTTGTTGCCTCTAGGGTGTGGGGCACTCTTGCTTTGTAGATGCTTAAAATATTTATGAAAAATATGCAGATTCACCCAAGATAATGATACAAGTATAACATGATAAACCTGTAAACAACATTAAAATTATAATCAATGCCCTAATCATCATTTCTGAACTGCCCTAATATTACAGGTGATTGCTGGATTCACAATATCACAACAAACTGTTGGAAACAACTGAGACATTTACCTTACACCAGGCCCAGGTAAGCCCAAAGGAAACCAGTGAGAGTTTGAAGATTTAGGACAGAATGCAGTGTCTATAAGGAAACCATAAGCAAAATACTTACTTCTCAAATAAGCTTCATGTTAACTGAATAAAGTAATTATCATTTTGGTTATGTTCATTGGAAATGATTTATATACTTTTCATACATAGTTGCAAAATTGAAAATGTTACTTTTAGCTAAATATATAATCTTAGCTAATGAAGTAATTTAAAACCTGATCGATTTTTAATGTTACTATTTTTAATAAATAGATTGGAATAGTGTTAGCTTTAATCATAGTTGTTTTTAGGAGATATTTGAAGTAACTTATTAGACATATTTGCTTTCAAGTTACTGTAGAGACAGATTTTTTTTTTCTTATTAACTATTTGAGCAGGGAGTGATGGTCCACCCCTTTGATCCTAGAATTGGGAAGTATGGGTGGGAGGACCAGGAGCTTAAGGCTGTCATTGGCTATGTAGTGAGTTTGGTGGCAGCCTGGGCTATGTGAGACCATCTCTGAAAATAAACAACAGTCTGGTATATTCATTAATGTGAATAGTTTGAGAAAGAAAATGCTATTTATTTGTTGTATATTGTAGGATAAATATTATAGAAACAATATGTTATTATTAAAGGAAATCAAATAGCACCATAACAATTCCTCAGATTTAGTTGACTAGTGTGATGAAAATGCCCTCATAGGACATTCAGATACAGCAGACCACAGGATCATCTGCAGAATGGCCTCATAGGACATTCAGATACAGCAGACCACAGGATCATCTGCAGAATGGCCTCATAGGACATTCAGATACAGCAGACCACAGGATCATCTGCAGAATGGCCTCATAGGACATTCAGATACAGCAGACCACAGGATCATCTGCAGAATGGCCTCATAGGACATTCAGATACAGCAGACCACAGGATCATCTGCAGAATGGCCTCATAGGACATTCAGATACAGCAGACCACAGGATCATCTGCAGAATGGCCTCATAGGACATTCAGATACAGCAGACCACAGGATCATCTGCAGTCACCATGCTGTCTTGCGCCATAGTCCAGAAATAATCTTACTCCAGATTGTGTAGAGTCAGATTATGATAGATCTTTCTGTTATTTAACAAATGACAACTGAGAAAAAGATCTAAATATTTGTATGTATGTTGATATGTAAATCTATACTAATGCTGTTATAGAGTGACGGCTTTGAAGTAGACGTGGGAAGGGGGTTCCGTGTGCATTTGTCAACTGATGGGGCGCAGAGCATGGAGGAAGGACAAAGGTGACAGGAATTGACATGGAGGCCACCAAAGGTGCTAGAAAGGGTGCTTGTTGCACTTGAGGAATTGAGCCTTTAAATTCATTTCAGGGATAATATGTATAAGATAAGGGACTTAGCAAATCTGGGAGCTGAGACAGAGTTAGCAGGAGTCATCTCTCTGACTGAAATATGATGAACCTGTGGGATAGATCACTTCAGAGTGTGAGCTTTGGAATCAGCTGTGTGATGTGCACTCTCTTCCCTGACAGCATCTCATACTTTTCATACTTTTCCATCACAGGTTATGGCACACGGCCTGTTTGGGAAAAGAAAATGAAATAATGGTCTTTGGTGGGAGCAAAGATAACTTACTTTTCTTGGATACAGTAAGCAAATCTTATATTTAAACATATTCTCTGAGTAATGATATTCTAACAGCTACTCAGCAGTATTGTTGCTATGGTAACTGCAGGACCACAAGTGTTGCCTAGAGGACCACCCTCCCAAGTCAGAGGCTTCGTGATGTATGTCAGGAGACTTCAGATTTATAGACTAAGATCAGTCTACAAATTTCGCTAGTCAAGTCACTAAAAAGGGCTTTCTCCTTCCAGTGCTGGGCTTGAACCTAGGGCCTTGCACTCAACCCCCACGCCACAGTCTTGGCTCCCTTTTCTGTTTCTCTCTGAGCTTTGCCACAATGAGCACTTGTAGTTTAAATGTATTGAAATGTCTGTATAGAAAAAGAATACATAATCACGGTAATGATCACCCAGAGAATTAATTTTTATTGGTTTTTTTTTTTTTTTTTTGAGGCAGTGTTTTACTATGTAGACCTGGCTGTCTATATAACTCACTATATAGGCCAGGCTGGTCTCGAACTCAGAGAGATCCAGCCACTTCTTTCTCCTTAGTGCTGGGATTGAAAGATGTGTGCCACCACACCGGGCACCCATAGAATTTATTAATGGAAGAAACAAGACATGGTAATCCTTCTAAATCCTTCTAAATCTAACGGGTTAGCGTCTCCCAAGAAGAAACTGTTAGTTTCTTGGTATTTTCTGGGGTTTTACCACTGCTACCAATCTGTTTTATATTTAAGTTTTAAGTGTTTCGGCTTTGGCATGCTCTAAAGTCAAAGGACTACACAGGTCCCATTTGGAGAGCCTCATTTCTTCCCTGGTGGGCCATGGGAAGTGCAGAGCAGCTGGCCACTCCCCCTGCTGCACTGGATGGACAGGCACTGGGTGCTCTAGTTTGCATAGGCTGCTGAAGAATTTCAGGATTGAGTATGAGGGCTGGCCACAGCAAGTCAGAGCCGCCAACAAGGCACTAGCTCCCTTGCTTGTCCTGAGGCACAGATGGCTTCTGCAGAGTGACAAACCTTGAGAAAAGCTGGCTTCTCTGCAGAGACTTGGGTTGACCTTGTAGTGTGTGGCTACCAGCTCAGACCTGTACAGTGAACCCTAGACTGTTTCCAGCCAGGACGCGGTGCTCTGAACTAAAGCTCTAGTGCCAGTTAAATAGTTAGCTGGCTTAGTTAAACAGAAAAGGCCCTGGGTTCAAGTCCCATCACTGCCCCTCCCCCAGTGGAACATTAGTGGTTTGTCTTATTTTTCTTGGCACTGGAATCCCTTGTTTAGAAGGTAGGCTTGGTGGTACATTCCTATACCCAGCACTTGCTCAGGAAGCTCAGGATGAAGAATTGAGGGTTCAAGGCCAGCCTGTGCTATACAAAGAGACTCTGTCTAAAAATATTTTAAAAATGAACAATGAACAAAAACAACAAAAATAAAAACCTTCTTCTCAGAATATAAAACTTACCCGGTAATGGTGGTACAAGTCTTTAATCCCAGTTCTCAGGAGGCAGAGGCAGGTGAATCTCCATGAATTCGAGGCCAGTCTGATCTCCAAAGCAAGTTCCAAGACAGCAAGGACTGTTACAGAGAGAAGCTTTGTCTCAAAAAACTTAAAAATCTTTGCCAGTTGGTGGTGACACACACCTTTAATTCCAGCACTCGGGAGGCAGAGGAAGGCAGATCTCTGAGTTTAAAGCCAGCCTGCTCTTCAGGGTGAGTTCTGGGACAGCCAGGGCTAACAGAGAAGCCCTATCTTAAAAATAAAATATTAAAATAAATAATAATAACATTTTCAATACAGAGGAAGATATTATGGGGATGCCAGGTGTGGTTTGGTTGCTAATTCATAGTACTAGGGAGGCTGAGGCAGGAGAATCACCACAAATTCAAGAGTAGCCTAAATTCCTGGCTAGCCTGCGTTGTATAGAAAAATCTTTTTTTTGAAAGAACACATATCAAATATTTTATTTAAATCATTAATAAATAAATTAGGCAAATGTCATAATGAACTCAAAATAGAAGTCAAAAGTCAGAGGCATTTTTAGATTTGTATAAAAAAAATCTTATCTGAAAAGAATAAAACAAACACGGAGGAGGTGGCACTCACTGGGGGACCTGCCTGCCTATCAGAGGAAGGCATCAGTGCCACAGGAGAACCTCCTGGAAGATGGAGACAGCGCACAGGACCTTTCAGGGGAAGAGTAATTTGGCAGAAATCTGTTTAATGAAACAAATATTAACGAGTTCTGTTACTGTTCTCAGAGAGCTGTCTCCTATTTTTAAATTTGTAATTATATTGGGTATTGATTAGGTAAAATTTTGGTTACTGAAATTTGTATTTGTAAACCTCATGCTTCCAAATAGGAAAAATATGTATGCAGATGTGTGTCTGTGGTCATGTACACTTGTATCCTCGTGTACATGTGTGTTACTAGCTAAAGAGAAATTTATTGACTGTTTTATACTTATACAATAGAAATCATCTATAGTTAAAGCTGTTATTTTCTTTAAATCCTTAATAAGACCTTTTTTTTTTTTTGACTAGGGTCACTGTAATGATTTATTGATCTTTCGAACACAGCCTTATTCACTGCTCAGGTAAGTAAATATAGTATTTTCCACATATATAATGTCATGTGTAAAAGTGTGTGTTTACTCAGCATTAACAAGGGCCTGGGTACAATCTGCAGCTCTGTATATACAGAACATGGCATCTGGTGTCTGTAATCCCAGTACTCGGAGGAGGACACAGGAGCTGAGGAGTTCAGTCTCTTCAGCTATGGAATGAGTTTGGTTTTAGGAGATTATTGTTGTATTGGGTCTTTGTTTTCTTTTTTTTAGAGAAACCCTAAAGCTGGGCGGGTAGGGAAGGGGAGAGAATCTAGAAGGATTTGGGGTAAGGAAAAATATGGTCAAAATATATTTAAACTTAAAAATGTTTTAAATAATAAAAAAGCCAGGCTGTGGTGGCACATGCCTTTAATCCCAGCACTCAGGAGGCAGAGGTAGGCAGATCTCTGTGAGTTCGAGGCCGGCCTGGTCTACAAGAGGTAGTTCCAGGATAGGCACCAAAGCTACAGAGAAACCTTGTCTCAAAAAAACAAACAAACAAACAAATAATAAAAATTTTAAGTTTTTTAAAAGGAGGGAAATTCTGACATGAGCTCTAACGTGGATTGAGCTCTAAGATGTGCCTAGTGAGATCTGTCAGTCACAAAGAACCAGTGCTGTGTGGCTCCATGTGTCTGAAGTAGCCAGAGTGGGCACACACATGTGGACAAAGGTGGATTAGAGTGTATCCAGAGGCTTGGCTGGGGAATGGGAAGTCAGTCTAACATGGGTTCAGGGTTTCATCTAAGGATGGAAAGATTGGGGGATGGTGGGTGTGGTGGCTGCAAGTCCTTAACAGTGCCAAACTGTTAGCATGGCGAAGTCTCTGCTTGGTTTACTTTAGCTTAACTTTAACAGTAAGAAATGTCTATTAAACGACAAAAGGCAAAATATGTGCTACGAATATGTGATAATCTCTTGTTGTTCTTTGGGGAGTAGTCATACTATTTTACAGGTAGTTTATTACTTGAATTCAAGAAAATATCTAGCCGGGCGGTGGTGGCGCACGCCTTTAATCCCAGCACTTGGGAGGCAGAGGCAGGTGGATCTCTGTGAGTTCGAGACCAGCTTGGTCTACAAGAGCTAGTTCCAGGACAGGCTCCAAAACCACAGAGAAACCCTGTCTCGAAAAACCAAAAAAAAAAAAAAAGAAAGAAAATATCTACATCTGCCTAAGAATAAAAGCCAGATGTGGTGGCACAGGCCTTTAATTGCACACTTAGGAGGCAGAGGCAAGTAGATCTTGTGAGTTCAGGCCAGTCTGGTCTAGATAGCAAGTACGAGGCCACATAAAGCTACATAGTGAGACTGTGTCTCAAAATAAATAAATCTTTATCTCATCACTCGGGAGGGAGAGGCTATAGTTCAAGTTTCTGGAAATAAGAATATGTCTGCTAATGTCATATATAATATATGGTATAAATATATTTACAGATACACTTAAAAGAATTTAAGCTGGGATTGGTGGCACACACCCTTAAGTTCAGCACTTGGAGGCAGAGGCAGGCAAATCTCTAAATTCAATGCTAACCTGTCTACAGAGTGAGTTCTAGGACAACCAGAGAAAGCATGTCCCAAAAAAACCAAGTCACGATGATGATGATGATGATGATGATGATGATGATGATGATGATGATGATGAAAGAATTCTTTTAACTCCAAAGATGTTTAGCTGCTTGGACACATGACCCTCTGTCTCTGTCTCCAAGATGCTGGGATTGCAGATGTGCCCTCACACCCAGATGACACAATCATGAGGAAGTAGATTTTAGCAAAAGAGAAAAACAAACAGACATTGGCTGAACAGGATGCTCTTCTTTTTGACATAGCAACTGGGGTACAGCTAGTGGGAAGTGTGTCCAAGCAACTAAAGAAGCGTATGGTAAGTCAGGTCGTGGCTCAGTGATTGGGCTAGAATGAGCGGAAGGGAAAATAAGGGGGCCTGGGGAGCTGGAGACCGACACTGGGCCCCCATACTTAGTTGATGCTGGACGTATTCTTATATGTCAAAATTTGAACATGAGGACTAAGGAGGTGGCCTGCTCAGTAAAGTGCTGGCCATGCAGACATGAGGACCTGAGTGTGGATCCCCAGCACCCATGTTCAAAGCTAGGCCCAAGAGTGGGTGCCTGTAAGTCCACTGGGGAGGTGGAGACTTTTGAGTTCCTGGCGCTGGCTGGCATCAGTCAGGCTAGTCAAACAACCGAAGTCCAGGTTCAGCTAGAGACCCCGTGTCAAATCACCATCAGTATCATTATCAGTAATAATATGCGGAGAATCATCATCATCATCATAATAGCGTGGATGGTGCCTTGGTCACTTTACATGTACATATGCACACATGCACACACGCATGAACATGTATGTGCCCATGCATACAGCGTGCACCACTCATGTACAACACCCGCCACACACACACACACAGTTGAATGTGACAGGAACATAGTTCTCCTGTGGTGCCTACTCACCATGGTGAATCATCCACACTGCAGTAATGTGTTCATTTTATTTTAAATGTTAGGTCAAGGCATTTGTCACTGGCTGTTCTGAAAGGCTGGGAGAAAAGAATCGTGAATAGGGCAGAAACCATCGGAAGCCTTAGTAGGAACACATGTGTACACGTGTATGTATGTGTATGCATGTATATACATACATATGATATATGAACAAATTAGATGTGCTGTCTATGGTATTTTCCAGTGTGTGGGTATCTCCCATGTAAGTGTGTGATCACTAAGCATGACAGTCTATATCTATGTCAGAAAGGCTAGTAAGATTCTCTCTTATGGACAGGATTTATCAGACCGAAGATAGCTATTTAGTATGTCCACAGTTTGGGGCTGTTACAAAAAACTTAGGTACGAAGTCATCTCGGGGATCCTCTTTGGAAAGCGTACATACAGATCCTCTCAGGAGAAATTCCCAGGAGTATTGATGGGGCAGACTGCACTGTGATGCTCTTCGGTGGCCCCACTTCTTGCCCAACCTCCGTCTCTCTGCCTCGCATCTTGTTGTGCCCGCTTTGACCTCCAGATATATCTAACTCTCTGACTGAATTGTGCTTTCTCTACTAAAGCTAATCTTTCATCTCCGGGGCTTTGGGAGTGTTTGCTGAGGTCCTGAGGTCTTAGCATGGGGGTCCCACCTGGAACACTCCCTGACTTGTGCTGTTGAAATCATCTCTGCGGAGCCCTTCAGAGCTGTAGGACTTCCATCACCGGCACTCGGCGTTTCTATCAGCTAGACGCTCACTTCCTTTGCTAGCTCATGAGCTCCTTGGATGTGGACACAAGGGTTTCCTGTGTTGATTTCCTCTCCCAGGACATGCCCACTGAGAGTTATCTTTCATATGCTGGCTCCTCTCTGCCTCCTCCTCTTTCTCCCCATGACAAGGGCACAGGAGTTGGGGTGCCAGCATAGGAGCAGAACTGGGCATCTACCTGGGACAGAATTCAAATCTGCCTGTACTTCTACACCCAGAAATTCTTAACTCTTCTTATTTGGACTTAGTAATGGGAAGGAAAAGGCCCCATGAAAATAAGAACGAGTGATGGGGGGGTCAGCTCAAAGAATTCAGACCTACATGGAATGTTTGTGCCAGTGACAGCTAAAGCAGGCGCCGGAGGCTGATGCAGACCCGTGCATGCTGGGCAAGAGTGACCTGTGTCCAGTTCTCCAGCCCTGCAAACACTGATTAAGAAAGAAATCCAGTCTTGTTTTTCTTTTAGAAATCAGAAATGTTTTATTTTATAATTAGTTTTGAAATTATCAAAAATAAATTAAAGAAGTAGTTAGAAAAGAGAAAAAGGTAAAGCAAAAAAGATGACACGAAATATGCAAGTTTCATAATTTTAAGAAGATTTATTGTTATTTTCTGTGTCCAAGGGTTTTACTTGCATTTATGGCTGCACACCACATGCATGCCTGCTTTCCATGGAGGGTGTCGGATGTGTGTGAGCCACCGTGTGTGCTGGGAATCATACCTAGGTCCTCTGGGAGAGCAGCCAGAGCTCTTGACCACTGAGCATCTCTCCAGCACAAGTTTCATAATTTTTGTATTGTTTTTGTTTGTTTATTCGTGACAGCTTCTCTGTGTAGCCCTGGCTGTCCTGAATTTGCTCTGTAGATCAGGCTGGCCTCGAACTCACAAAGATCCACCTGCCTCTGCCTCTGAATTCTGGGATTAAAAGTGTGCGCCACCACTACCTGGCAGCGCTTATAATTTTTAGTTTTTAACTTTTCTGAGAATTTCATATGTGACTATACTGGACTTTGTAACATTTCCACTCCTCCCTCTTCTTTATTTATGATTATTGGCACATAGCCAGTTAATAAGTTAGTGTGACGCGGTGTCTTGTCCATCTGTCCCTCTGTCTTCTCTCATTTCATCACTGGTCTTCCTGTCCTTGACATCTGAGTTTTGCTTTTCTTTTGGCCTTTATGCTTACTGTCAAGTGTTCTTCCATTTAGGTATATCTCTATCCCTGAATCTTCTAATGAAAGAATATTATGTGTGACAAATTGCATTTTCTATTTCCTTGACTTTTGCTCAGATATGACCTCTTTATTGTATAAAAAAAGCATGATTATTGTAGTGATCTAAAAAAACTCTCTCATATTACAAGGAATATATATGTGTACACATACACACACATTGCCATCTAGAGGTTTTTTTTTGTTTTTTTTGTTTTTTTTGAGACAGGGTTTCTCTGTGGCTTTGGAGCCTGTCCTGGAACTAGCTCTGTAGACTAGGCTGGTCTCGAACTCACAGAGATCCACCTGCCTCTGCCTCCCGAGTGCTGGGATTAAAGGCGTGTGCCACCACCGCCCGGCTGCCATCTAGAGTTTTTACATCGATTTTGTAAGAAGGAAAAGGGACTACTTAGCTTGTCAGGCATGATAGGTACACTCCTGTAACCCCATTACCTGGAGAAGTTGACATGGGAGAGTCACCTCAAGTTTGAGGCCAGCCTGGGCTACAGAGTGGGCCCATATATTTTTGTTTTCTTTCGGGCTTTGTGGATGCTGGCAAGCGTTGATGATATATAAAAATCTTCAAAAATAAATAAACAAGGCTTGATGTGGCTCAGAGGTCAGGAGGACTTGTTGCTCTCTCAGAGGACCCAGATTTGGTTCCCAGCATCCATGGCAGGTGGCTCATAACCCTCTGCAGCTCCAACTCCAGCTCCAGGAGTCATGCGCCCTCTTCCAGCCTCTGCCTGCAGTACTTGTACTCTTATGACATACATTCACACAAATAATACACACACACATAAAATAACACAATGAATTCACACAAATACACACATCCATAAAATAACACAATGAATTCACACAAATACACACATCCATAAAATAACACAATGAATTCACACAAATACACACATCCATAAAATAACACAATGAATTCACACAAATACACACATCCATAAAATAACACAATGAATCCTGGGTTCAGAAGCTAACTGTTCTCTCATGCTTTGTCGACAGGTCATGTCTTGACTGCATTGGGAAAAATGCTATCATTTTAAAAAGTCAGATATCTTTATTACCTCCTAAACTTCTGCAGCAAGTTCTCAAAAAAATAACATTTTGGACTGCAGCCAATTACCGAAAAGAGCAAAGAATCCTAAAAGAAGAAACGGAAAATAAGCCCCACTGGGTCAGTGGCCACTGATGCTCTGAGTCCCCTGTGTCAGCGTGTTCCAGTCAGACTGCGTTTGACCCTCCCCTCCAGTTGCGGGTTTTATTTAAAGGATAAAGTTTGCAACAAATGTTTTGCTACTGTGATTACATGATATGGGATATATGGAAATAAGATGTAATTGAAGATTTGTCTGTGTATTTGTAAACTGATTTTCGTGTAAAAGATTACGTGTTTTTTCTGGAAATAAGTACAGTAGTAACAGTTCTTAACTCAGTGCGTACTTTTCTGGAAATATGTCCATTTGAAAAACAAATTACCCCCAAATCTCCAGAAATCCTCTATCACAACTGTGGATGTAGATATAAAAACACTGATTAATTACCATTACTTTAAGAGCACCCAAGTGTCTCCTTAAATATCATCAGAGCTTTCCGTCTACCCGCCGAGCAGGGGAGCTTGTCTAGATGGTTCTGTCTGCACCGCGCAGGACCGCCTGGCTGGAGGTTGGTTTGTCTCACAGGCTTCGAAATACTGGAGTGTGCGATAACGAGCAGCTTTGGATCATGGGAAACCCACATTGCCTTGGACACGCGTCTCTAAAGTGCTGTTTGCAAGCAATGTAAAGTGACCATCTGGTGGCCTTTGTGCTCTGCTGCCCCACAGAGTTGAGGCTTTGTCTAGACACCGCTTGTCCTGACGACAACCCCTCGCTCTCGGGAGACTGTACGGTTGCATTCCTCAAAATGGTACTTTGGCCATTTTGAGACATTTTTCTTCATGTGCCCAGTCTCGTCCTTCCATTGGGATCCTTGTTACAATCGATTGCTAAAGGGTTCAGTATATGACATAATCTCATCACTGTCACCGTGTGAGTTATCGCTGAACTTTAAAATGCTGTGAAGGTATATTTCTGTATTGTAGATAATTTATAGTGAAAATTGTAGCGTTTCATTAAACTGTAGATATGTTTTATAATGCTATATTTTGAATGTGTAAAGCTTCTATTTATGTATTGGGATAGTTTGTGTTTACATTTTATTTAGTGAACTCAGTATACAGAATTATCACCTCACAGTTTTCTCAGTGTGGACCAGTCAGAATTCATTCCAGTGTGGGGCTGGCAACGTGGCCCTGGATGTAAAAGGACTTGCTGCACAAGCCTGGCCTGAGTTCATCCCTGGTACCAGGTGGGAGGAAAGAACTAACGCCATAATGGTTGCCCTCTGACCTCCACATGGGCTCAAGCATATAATGCACACACAACAATAGCAAATAAAAATTATAAATTTTAGTGTGAATTTTTATTTTTTTCTTACCATTTTTAGACTTGGAAACTGAATTTCATAAATAATATACTTATTGGGGAAATTATTTTTTATGAACTTAAATATCATCATTAATTAATAATGTCATAATAATCAAGACCACACACACACATATATGTATATAGAAAGAGAGAGAGAGAGAGAGAGCCCACAGAAAGGCAGAAGACTATGGCACAGAAGATGTCTCTATGCCTCATTGCAGGCAGGAATCAGCGGGGTAAGGCTCAGTGCCACATTCAGAAGCTCGCCCCAGTGGCATACTCTTTACAGCTAGGTCCTCCTGGTTTCCATGGACGCCCCAAATATCCCCACCATATGACAACCAAGTGTTTCTCATGGGCCTGTGTGGTGCTTTCATCTTTAAACCGGAATATTCTACCGCTAGCCCCAAAGGCTCGGAGCTTTCATCTTTAAACCGGAATGTTCTACCGCTAGCCTCAAAGGCTCGGAGCTTTCATCTTTAAACCGGAATATTCTACCGCTAGCCCCAAAGGCTCGTGGCTGTCACATGCATTCTCCTAGACTCTGAGTCTTAACCATGCCAAGACCCTCAGAAACCCCAGTTCAAAGTCCCTGAGACTCATCTCCTGGCCTTAGGGATGTCTAAGCATCATCCCATGGGTCCCGCTGACAACAGAGGCGAAAGAATCCTGGACCTAGAATCTGAGCATGCGTGGTTCTGGGGTGTCCCTGCTCCATGCCTTGGAATCTTCTAGCACTAGCCGTCAGAGGAAGACAGACTGCTGTCGAGGAGAGATGGCTCCTGGGAACCGGTGCTGATCTTTCAGGTTGGTCGGCACTGATATTTGTTAGGAGAGAGTGGCAACTTCATCAGTCATAGAATTACGATGACCTGTATGTAGTCAACATTGTTGGGCTGTCTTTTGAATGAGAACTATCGGAAGGGCACTGTCAAGAGGGCGCTATCAGGTGGGCGCTATCAGGAGCACACTATCAGGAGCGCACTATCAGGTGGGCGCTATCAGGAGGGCGCTATCAGGAGGGCGCTATCAGGAGCGCACTATCAGGAGCGCACTATCAGGAGGGCGCTATCAGGTGGGCGCTATCAGGAGGGCGCTATCAGGAGGGCGCTATCAGGTGGGCGCTATCAGGTGGGCGCTATCAGGAGCGCGCTATCAGGAGGGCGCTATCAGGAGGGCGCTATCAGGTGGGTGCTATCAGGTGGGTGCTATCAGGTGGGTGCTATCAGGTGGGTGCTATCAGGTGGGCGCTATCAGGTGGGCGCTATCAGGTGGGCGCTATCAGGTGGGCGCTATCAGGAGCGCGCTATCAGGTGGGCGCTATCAGGAGCGCACTATCAGGAGCGCACTATCAGGAGGGCGCTATCAGGTGGGCGCTATCAGGAGGGCGCTATCAGGAGGGCGCTATCAGGTGGGCGCTATCAGGTGGGCGCTATCAGGAGCGCACTATCAGGAGGGCGCTATCAGGAGGGCGCTATCAGGTGGGCGCTATCAGGTGGGTGCTATCAGGTGGGTGCTATCAGGTGGGTGCTATCAGGTGGGTGCTATCAGGTGGGCGCTATCAGGTGGGCGCTATCAGGAGCGCACTATCAGGTGGGCGCTATCAGGAGCGCACTATCAGGAGGGCGCGATCAGGAGGGCGCTATCAGGTGGGCGCTATCAGGTGTGGCTCATTGGAGGAAGCGTGTCACTGAGGATGGGTTCTGAGGCTTCAGAAGCTCAAGCCAGGCCCAGTGTCACTCTCCTTCTACTGGTTTGGATGTAGAACTCTCAGCAACCTCTTCGGCACCATGGCTGCCTGCATGCCACCATGCTTCCCACCACGATGATACTACTGGACTAAACCAGTAAGCCAGTCCCAGTTAAATGTTTTCCTTTATAAGAGTTGCTGCGGTCATGGTGTCTCTTCACAGCAATAGAAATCCTAAGACAATGAGGAAGGAGTTGGACATTGGTGAAGATCTCCTGCCCTTCTTTACTATATTTGGGGGCAGGGTGTAAACCATCAATCAAACAGCCTAGCTGGGATGATCCTCTGCAAGGGGGGATATGGCTGAACTCCCCAACATGGTGGTCGCTTGGCTCTGAGGACACTCATGATAACTTGACAGAGAATTGGTAGATTGTATAAAGAATTCAAGAAACAGGGCTGGAGAGATGGCTCAGTGGTTAAGAGCACTGCCTGCTCTTCCAAAGGTCCTGAGTTCAATTCCCAGCAACCACATGGTGGCTCACAGCCATCTGTAATGAGATCTGGTGCCCTCTTCTGGCCTGCAGGAATGCATACAGGCAGAACACTGTATACTTAATAAATAAATAAATCTTTTAAAAAAAAGAATTCAAGAAACAAAGAATAAAGAAAACAACCCAATTCAAATGGGCCATAGATCTTGGGCAGAGAGTTTTCAAAAGCAGAAATAAAATGACTAATACATATCTCAAAAAGTGTTCATTGTCCTTAGCAATTAGGGAATGAAAAATGACATTGAGATTTGATTGTTGGCCCAGACAGAATGACTAAGGTTGAGAAAAGAACTGAAGGTCGAAGTTGGAGAGCATGTAGGGGAAGGGGAACCCCGGTCACTGTTGGTGGGATCGCAAATTGGTGGAGCCATTATGCAAATCACAGAGAATTCTTGAGAAGCTAAAAATGAATCTACCGTATGACTCCGCTATGGTCCTCTTGGCGCACGCCCGAGGGACTTGACATCCTTCTCCACAGATGCTTGCTCAGCCAGCTTCGCTGCTGTCCACTCCCCAGTGCCAGGAAATGGAAACAACCTAAACGTCCTTCAGCTGCAGCTGGTGGATGATAAAAAGGCACTACACACTGTGGTACATATGTCTAGCCGTAACACACAGTGAGATCGGGAACTTGGTAGGGAAGTGGAAGAAACTAGAAAATATTATACCGAATGAGAGAACCCAGACCCAGAAAGACAAACGACACATGTTCTTTCCCATCTGTGGTTCCTAGCCACAAATCTTCAGATATGAGTACATGACCTGGTGTGACCCTCGAAAGCAGAAAAGCAAAAAGGGCCATGGGAGGGTGGGGTGGGCAGCACCTGAGCCTAGCAGACTAGCAGATTGTGGGTGATACAAGGGAGAAACGGGGAAAGTGGGAGGGGGTCTAGGTGGGAAAAGGGGAGGACGGGCAAATAATGCTAAGGATTTTTAACATGTCGTAGAGAATCATTTTATATAAACTTGAAATTATACATAGTAAATACGTGTTTGTCATTTGCATGTATGTGTAGTTTGATGAAATTAAAATGTAAAAGTTATTATTTTATATACACCTAAAATTACATATAATAAAAGTACATATAATAAGAGTTTGTGTGTCTGTGTGTATGTGTAGTTCAATGAAGTTATTAAATTGTGTTATAGACACCTAAAATTACATAATAAAAGTGTGTGTGTGTGCGGCATCCATACACATGAGGGTGCATATGTGTTCATGCATGTGCACATGTAGGCCAGACAATGACCCGGGCGTCTTCCTCAGGTGTTCCCACCTTATGTTTATGGACTGGGTCTCTCATTGGATGTTCGCCAACACAGGTAAGGACCTGCGTCCGCCTCCTCAGTGATGGGAGCATACAGCCATGCTCCCGCTCCGTTCTTACAGCTTCTGAAGATCTGAACTTACGCCCTCACGGTTGAATCAGCACTTTGCCAACTGAGCCACCCCTCAGGTGTTTGTTTTGTTGACAAGGTCTCTCTGCAGGCCGGGCGGTGGTGGCACACGCCTTTAATCCCAGCACTCGCGAGGCAGAGGCAGGCGGATCTCTGTGAGTTCGAGACCAGCCTGGTCTACAAGAGCTAGTTCCAGGACAGGCTCCAAAACCACAGAGAAACCCTGTCTCGAAAAACCAAAAAAAAAAAAAAAAAAAAAAAAGGTCTCTCTGCAGCCCAGGCTGGCTTCGAAGTTCGAAGTCATGGCAATCCTCCCGTCTCAGCCTTTGGATTGCTGGGGTTGAAATCACTATTCCTTCATTTGGAAATCTGATTGCTTTTTAAATAAAATTTCAGTGATTTATTTATAATAATGTCTACACTTCTTCCAAAAGTACGTTGCTATAAAAGCATATGTTAATGATTTTGAAATTTTATTTTTAAACAAACTTTATTATAAAAAATCTTGCAAGTAAATACATCTACATGAAAATTAACCAGACCCAAAGTCTCTACCACTTAATGGGTGTGCAGCTGGAACTGTCACTCAAGGTGAAAGTGGGAGACCTCACAGTGAATTTCCTATTTTCACTCCTGAATACATTTTATACACTCACCACCCAAACCAAGAAATCCATTACAGGATTATGGAAATACCGATCATTAGCTTTATGTCTCTTTCGTAGCTCATGTCCTTTGCCTGCATTCAGCTCTTCTTCTTGTGTTCCCTAGAACCCTCGTGTACATTTCTTCATATTTATACACACTGGCTAGATTCCACACGTGAGAGAACAGACTCCTTCCCGTCTGACACTGGGTGACCTTGTCTAACATTACACATTCTAAGTCCATCCATTTCCCTGCCAAAAAAAAAAATTAACTTCATTTTTCTTTAGAGCTGAGCAGTGTAAAAAAAAAAAAGAGAGAGAGAGAGAGAGGCAGACTCCATCTCCAAAGGCCACGGAGAGAGGCAGACCCATTCTGTCGCCACAGGCCACGGAGAGAGGCTGACACACTCAGTCTCCACAGGCTACGGAGAGAGGCTGACACACTCAGTCTCCACAGGCCACGGAGAGAGGCTGACACACTCAGTCTCCACAGGCTACGGAGAGAGGCTGACACACTCAGTCTCCACAGGCTACGGAGAGAGGCTGACACACTCAGTCTCCACAGGCTACAGAGAGAGGCAGACACACTCAGTCTCCACAGGCTGACACTGCTTTATGGGACAATGAGGGCCCCAACCTTTCTTCAGGATGAAGGCTGAGAGCTCTTAGAGGGGCTGGGACACACAAACACACACA